TTGGTACTAAGAAGCACTCCATCCTTGGTCCAGTTAACAGATATTTCTGGATCACCACTCCGATAACACTTCTCAGTAAACGTGGAGTTAACTTCGATGTTAACATTCTTGAACTCAAGCTTTACACGGGGTGGAACTGCGAAGCGAGTAGAAAAAAACACAGATTGCGAACTGCTCATATAGTAATTAAAGATTCAAAGTCCCCACCTCAATTCCCTTCCCCCCTCATGCCACTCAAATACATAAATAAAGAGACGAAGATTAAAACAAATTTTGATTATATCATATAAATGCTTCGAAAAACCACGTAGGCCAAGCTATGTTGCTTATTGAGCTTTGAAACCATCGATCACGCAGGAATAGATGTAAGATAAAACGGTCTGAAAATAAAACGCTTGTTACGGACCTGGTCCTAACAAATGAATCCATTGCAGTTAACAGGCGAAACTTTGGATGTTAAGTTTTTCCGTTGGTTTTCTTAAGATTCATTTTTACTGATGAATAAAGGCTGAAACGCTCGAAACGTCAGCTTTTGTAATCGTTACGGTGGCCAATTTACCACTTCAACTTTGTTGATATATCCAAATTATTTCATTTATACTGAGCACTTTTATCTCAACCAACAACACAACATGGATCAGAGAGACCACCAGTGCAAGTTACATAACGCACATAATTCCCAGAAATTCTGACTCACACAGTAGGATCAATCGTTATGGGAACTACAATTTGATGTGCCCCCAGTACAACATAGCAACGGAAAAAGGTAAAACTTTTCAGTTTTGTAGGGTAGAGCTCTGGAATGGAATTCCTCTAGAAATACGTAAGAAGGATTCTATTAGTTCCTTTAGTTCTGCCTGTTTTTAAACAAGTCTTAACTGTTGTAGAAGAGGTTAAGGGCGTAAAGCCACTAGTACAACAGTTTATACTATTTATACACCATCCTTTATCAACCAAGTTGTTACTTACTTCCACAATGACGACCCTGAAGCTCAGACCCATACCCCTTAATCCACAGTCCGGCCAAACGAACATAAATTTTCACCCAGTAGACAAACCAAATGCATGACTATGAGATTAACAAACTCACCCTTACCAGAAATTTGGACGTATTTGGTAAATATGCCAGCGGCATTCTCTGCCTTACAAGTGTACCGCCCTTCGTCGTTCTTTTTTGTTTTGGGGAAAAGGAGAGACCAGCTCTTTTCCTGCAAAGTATTTTTCTTGAGCCAAGTTATCTCGGGCTCAGGCCGACAAGCCACAATTTCACACGTCAATTTCGCACTGTTTTCCTCTATGATGAGATTGCTTGCTCCAGAAATAGCCACTTTTGGTCGAACTAAGAGGTAAAATAAAAACAAAAACAAAAACAGAAACAGAAAACGGTGGTATCCCTAAAAAGAAAACGCTACTCCATTTAAGTGTTAATATTTCTCATTGAGATTTTATGATAATGTTTCTGGCCTTTTTGCGCAAAATTTTATCTGCATTTTCACAGAACTCATTGGACCAGGTCAGGAGTTAAGAGGCAAAATAGAGATAAATTGGTTAAACCCCTTTTTTGGATACAAACCTACAGACTCAAAAAGTCACTTGTTGAACTCATCTTCGCATCCATTTCATGTCAGGAATTCCATTCCCTTTCCTCAGTTTCCAAAACTTCATCGTTTATGTTGCGATGATTCTGACTTTTTCGACAAATTATAGGCAATGTGCCAGTTTTTCGAAAACCATGGTCACCCTCTTTCTCTCGTTCAAGTGGGTCACTACCGTGCCCAAC